TATTACAGGTGGGGGGCGTGGCCAAAATGAAAACCGACGTCAGCACAGGGCAGTGCTAACCCTGAAGGCAGTCAAAGTGATACCTCTGTAAAGACATTACCTCAAGTTTTTCAATTCAATGTATCCTGTCTTCAAAGCTGTATTATCTTATGTTTGTCTTAATCGATTACATAAACATACAATAAGCTGTTTTTAATTAGCTGAAGCTCCATGTACTCATTTCAACTTCTCAGTGAGGACTATGTTATCTCTAGCAGTGCCTCCAGATCTGCAAAAAGGCCCATAAATTTTTGAAGTAAGGCCATGTAGAACATCCACAAGCTCGAGCGTGTATGGGAAGAGAATAGCTTTTGAATGGGCCTCCTCGTAAAGTTGGAGACAAGACGGCCCCATCTTGGCTTATTAGTTTGAACCATGGCCATCTGATTACCACCTTTTGCTGGGTCACCTTCATCATGCAGAAAGATATCCCTACCTAAGGAGCTATCTGAAGCACCAGGAGCTTGGAAATTTACTGATGTGAGCACCATCAAGTTGCGGTATGGGATCATTTACCCACGATAGTTCCAACCTTCATCAATCGTCCAACTGGTGCCCTAACCTTCCCACATTGGCGACTTACTATGAATGCTATCCGATCAATACACATTTTCATTACCAGAAAGACAAGAGTTGATGGAAAAATGGTTTAACCTTACCTTTCAAAAGCCTACGCTGACTCTGTAGCCGTCATTTTCGTTCCCTTGAAGAAATGGGTAAAATAAAGCTTCCTGCCATGAATGCCACGGGGCCAACTCATCCTAGTTACAGAATTTGGAACAACCGTGAAATCTTGGATTCGCTACCATTCGTGGGAAGAGATGTATGATGATTATTTTGAAAAAGTAGGTGGTTCAAAGGGTTGAAAAAGAATAAAATGAAAACTACAGCCAAATCTTAGGTAGACGATCAGCATTGTAGCCCCCACCCCCTTACCTCCCGAACTTGTCCTGAATGATTTTGTGCACAGTCCTGCTGAGAACAGAACCGCAAGGTATTCTGTTCCAGATCGGGAGAAAGACCCACCTCCTCATGAGCTCAATTCCGTCCTAAAAGTACTGATCCCGTCAGCGCGCCCCAATTGCACTCAACGCGACGCAACCGCGCGCTCGCCATGACGAAGGCGCTTGGCTAAGGCTTCCGGGCTTTTCTCTTCCCACTCAAATTTATAGGTTTTATCAATGTTTTTCGGTTTTTGCATACATGGCTTAACCCAAACATAAAGGGAGTAATAATGCTCGTAGGTTATTTACCAATCAAGGTGTGCATAGCCTAACTCTACGTTTTTGCTTCTTTTCTGTTTATTTTTTTTGGGCCTGAGCCATGGGAGAGAAGGCCTCAGGACAAAAGATCACGGAAATCTATCTTTTTTGAGAGAAGCTAATTCAAAGGCCTATTTATTATTGAATTTTTTCTAATCGGTCCTTCAATATATTAAATGGAAGAGTTAGTGATGTACAAGAAAGGATGCTCTTTCGTATGGCCCTTTTACGGTTCGATTTTGGCTATAGCCGGGAATCGCCATTTTATTGCAGTTCTGTCTGCTATTTTCGACAATGGTAGCGCACTTGACTTTAATAACCCCAGTATTCCCAACTTTTTGCAAGTGGTAAGTGGCCCTTTCACCGCTAGCACTCAGCTTTTGCGAATATTCCTCTTTCCAGACAATAACATAGTGTTCTGGATAGCTTTTGTTGAATCTTACACTGTGCTTTAGACGTCTGCGCTCAAGCATTCATTGCTGTCGCCATTTTGTTGCTTATCTTGTTCGATTTTCCGCAGAATCGGTCGTTGTAATGTTTCCCTAACTTCTAGTCTTGCTTTCAGAATGGAAGACGACATCTCAGTTCTGGAACTACAACGAAAAAGAGAGGAACTTCTAAGGTTGCTGCAAGAGGCCGGGGACGATGACGACGATGATGAATGTTCCGGTTTGTTGCCATTCAAAACCTACACTTATCTTTAGACATTGCAATTTTTTCTTAGCGTTTTCAAAGAATAGTTCTTTTCAGAAGAGTCAAGCAGCAATGAAGATTATGAGGAACTGGATGAAGATGAAGAAGAAGAGGAAGAAAACGGTGAAGGTGACGAAGGCGATGCTAATGAAAATGACGTTGAATCCCCTCCTTCAAAGAAAGCCCGATTGAATGAGGCAGCGGATGCGGCTCCATCGACAGCATCTTCTGCAGGTGAGTTACTTTTGAATCTTTTTTTTCCTGAAGATCGTTTTATGGTTTGTAAGAGCTTCGCTCATGTTCATTTAAAGCTTCATGTCTTTTTATAAACTTTGTTAATACGGTCTTATTTGCAGATGAGGAATGGAAAAATATGAACGGCTCAGCGTGTCCAATGGCGCATATTCCAGCCTCAGCTTCCACTGGAGAAAGGTTGGGAGCTCAAAAGAATTTCCATCATTTGATTTCATTTGTGTGCAATTAGTGCACAACTGAATAAATGCCATTTAGGTCAGAATCTTGTTCGCAAAAAGCACTTGATGAGGATCAGGAAATGGAATATGAAGGTTTCAGATTTTCATAATCCTGGCATATTCAATGATAATGCTGACCATGCTTCAGATGATTTATACGATGATATCCTGGACGTCGATGATATTCTGGAAGAAGCTGTGGATAAGATAAAGAAGGAAGCAGAAGACTCTGAATCTACTCCTGTGATGTAGGTTTTCGACTGTGGAAAGTTTCGAATGAGGTTTTCCTCAGTAAATTCAGAAGCGGATCGAATTAGATCAAATTTAGATTCACTGTTTCGTTTATTTGAAATTACCAAATCCACACTTCTTTTGGTGTCTATTTTTCATCCATCGCCATCAATCCCAACCTAGTTCTAGGTTCTGCTAGCTGTAGTAATTCAATTTGTATGTAGATCATTTAGATGGAAATATGTGCCTGAACGTCTCGAACATGATCATTTCATGAATCTCCCCGAGGGATGGGCTCGTATAACACACAACAGTGGGATGCCTGTGTATCTGGTGAGTTCCCTATTTTTTTAATCTAATACTTGGCTGGATTAAGGGTTACCACCCAATATAGGTACATGTGATACTAACTATATTCTCTAACATTTGCAGCATCGAAAAACACGTGTTGTATCTTTGTCAAAGCCGTACTTCATTGGAACTCAGGGAGTACGCGACCATCGCATTCCTGTTACGGGTGTACCATGCCTTCATCAGCGTAGAGTACTTGAGAGAGTGAGGGCTTAATTCTTCCATCCAAAACCACATTTTGTTACATATTTCGTCTTTGTTAAGGATGCCGCTCTTGCAAAGGAGGCAGAGAAGCAGAAGAGTAATCCAACCGAATCAACATTAGAAAGTGAAATCAAACAGAAACTAATAGCCCCAGCTGTAAAGATTGAGGTCCGTTGCTTTATTTTGAAAATGAAATGCAAATTCGCAATCTCATAGTTGCGTTAGCTAATGCAGCTCTCGATGAAGGTTCAGAAAATCATCTTTCAGAGGATTGATTCCGATAAGGAGAGTAGGCAGTTGCGAATTGTACAATTTATACGCACACCTTAATTTGCTTGCCTAAAATCGTTGCACTAGGACGTTTGATCGGTCATATCTATATGACCCATATAGACTTATTGTTTTCTTTCTATCCCTCGAACACCTTTTAGCCTCTTTGCCCATTTCTTATTTTTTGGTAAGTTGGAATTTCCTTGTGCTCGTTTTTTTGAGCGGTGCTATTTTGTGGCAGAACTGCTCGCTCATTCTTTCTACAACCTTATCCAACCTCTTATTCCCTGTCCGCTTTCTCGATCGCCTTTCCTCAATGCTTATCGTACCTACCGAAACTGGCGAAAGTGCTGCAATGGACACTTATTGCCCTTCTCGGCTAAGTTCGATGAGCACAGAGTATGTTCATATGAGGCTTCCCTTCTTTTATAACCCTTCGACAAAGTTGAAATCGGGTTGTTCACGGTGAGTTGTAGCCTGTCTTCACTCTCATTCGGGTAAGTTACACGTTTGTAAGTTCTTCGTCTAGAGAGTCGCAGTATCTCGAGAATAATTTTAAATGTGTAAATCGCTGAAGTTTCTCTTCATATCTCTAATGCTCTATTCAACAATCGCTTTTCAGGACACAGAGTTCGCTTTCTTTAGTACAGCTAGTTATCCTGTTAGATGCTGTTTGAAACAAATTCTTAAACAATCATCTTACTAATGACAAGTAGAAAAATATGTGTAAAGAGCAATGCGACTGTTCCTCCATTCCTTCCATTATTGTTAAAGTTATAGTTCGATCTTAAATTTGTCTTTCGGATTAACCAGATTTCAACTAATACGTTTTTCACGCGGCAACGAAGGACTTGATGAGAGTTTTGACGTTATGGTTCTTTCTCTCTTCCCATTTAGTCTCTTTCTTTTACCCATTAGCAGTTCAGGGATTGCAGCTTATCCATTGATGTGCTCGTATATTGTCAACAGTACAAGCCTTAAGAAATTCGCCTAAAGGCAGAATCTAAGTTCTCAACATTCATGCTCCTTATGATTTTAACTTGCCGAAAGCAACTGTGCGCTCCGATCAACATCCTTTAGTCGGTGGATTAGGTTCACATAGGTTTTGGTGCATTGCGTTACTTCCTTCACACAGTGCTCAATATCATTGTGAAGAATCAAAAATGTAGATGTCAAGTGATGTATCTGTGTAGCTCATACTTCAAAGCTATGAAATGTTGATATTATTTTCTAGAGGCGCCACACTGTATTGAATCTCTCGTAATGAGCCTGCCAAAGAGATTTGCAGGGATAGATTGGTAAAAAATATTCGGAGCATGGATACGTGCTCTTCGCAGTAGAGACACACAGTGATGGGTGTTAGTGTTATCTTGGTATCTGGTATTATGGGAACCGTATAATAGCGTAACCGTATGTTGTGCGTTAACCCTATCCCGCACTAAACTAGTTTTTGTGAATTTTCTCGCATCTCCGAAGTTCCTTACTATGTTCTTTTTCGTGTTTTCAACATTACACTTCTTGATATTTCAGCGTCAAGAGGATTACTTACTAACTGGAGAAGAGTATCGCAAGTATGCCGAAAAACTGTTTAAGTTTAAAACTATTCAGGTAGTTAGTAGTCCATGTTTCGCGTATCACAGAGGTCGTTTTTTTTGCCAAAAAAAATCTTGATCTGCCTTACATCTAGGTTAAAAAGTTCAACAATTTCAAGGAGAAAAAGGCTGCATATCGCGAAAAGCAATTGGACCAGGCACTTAAAGATTCAGGTGGAGTTTTGTAGAACGTTGTCCAGGTGATAGATGGTTTTCATTGCTCCTTCAATAGCCTCACTTGATATTTTCCTACTCTGTGTGTTCTTTTACGAGTAAAATAGCAAACTGTGCACTAGTTGGATAAGAACACGAGAGAGAAAGCATAAGAATAACAAACCGATTTTGATCTCGTCGAAGGTTGACTTTTAAGGTGTTCCAATGAAAATGAAGGAAGTACTGAAAAAGAAAGAGAAGGCACCTGCAGGAGTGAGTTTACGCGTTGATTGTTTCTTTGCCCGATCGCTAAATATGATATACTAGCTAACTTATATTAAAGCGGATATGGTTTACTCCTGTAGAAATCTATTGTCTCCATCACGATTACTTTACAGTTAGCTCTGATACACATCGAGTCAGCAGATCCACGTTTCCACAAGCGTAGTTTTGTGATGAACCCTCAGGGGAAGTCTTCGATCACGGTCTTGCATGAATACTCACAACGGGCTTTGAAAGGACGCACGATTTATCACATTGAAGAAACTAGGTTCGTTTGACACATTTTCTTGTCATTAGAATGTTTCTTCTCGTCGCTGGTGATGTGTAGGCTAGTCGGCAAGCTTAGAAGGGCATTAGGCTTCTTCAGCGAATCAGCTCGCGTTATCAGACACGGTCGTAGAGGAGATAGTTAGCGGGACCGTTTACTGCAGCGGTTATACTTTAAGTTAAGGGCGGTAAGTTATGATATGAGAGGGGCGTTTAAGAAGAACATCTACTATGCATGATATCTTCGACGTCATTTCCTACTGCTACTCGTATTGGATCTACGTTACCTCACTGTCTAAGAAATACCTAACAAATGAGTTTTTGGTAATGAGCTGTAGTAGAATTGAGTTTACTGACCAGTTAATTCGGAAATGGGGGGCTGTGCGAATACACTCTTTACGTGATGTGTAGATCGCAGGGCAGCCCTCAATTTTTGCTCAATTTTCGGTTGCATTTTAGGTATTTTCGTGAAGGAGCCTTCTGGGAGTTTGGATTTAGACTGCTTTTTTCCGCTTCGAGATAGTGCATTGTTCCAGAAATGCAACAAAACCATTCCATGCTACGGGTATTGTCGTTGTGAAGAAATCGATTCGGGTTCAAATTGCTGGTAAAATCAAGGATAAACTTGCACTTCTGGGTTCGAGCAACGGTGTTGACGGCGATGCCGATGAAGGTGAGTTTTTCTCGGTGTTCCTAGTGTACGCAGAGTATCCCGCCTTTCTTGAAGACATTTAGATAATTTCGAAATGTTTCAGATTCAATAATAGTTGGTCGAGGTGAAGGTCCAAGTAAACGTGTAGCTAAAATGGTAGCTGCGAAGCAGGCGCTTGCGGTAAGTTCAAATTCCATATTCGAATTGAGCTAGGATTTCTGATCGATTCCACGTGTTACTGGGTTTGCATTCTTTCTTCTTATGCAGCGATTTGAAAATTAATCAGGTGCTAATACCCGAAATTCGCTTCAACGATGACTTCATGGCCACCATACAACCACCGGATGCGACTGAAAAGAATTATGACGATCAGGTGAATCCTAAGATTTTTTGAATGTACTCAACTATGTGTTTGCATTCTAATCTCTGGGTTGGTAGTAAAAAGGGACCCTCCAGTATTTTTAAGAGCAACTATGGTAAGAGCACCTCTTGCGGTACGTAAAAACATATATCAACCGCTATCGAGCCAAGTTGGCTGTTGGGTATGGAAGCACGTACAGAGTGTGTAGTTTACAACAGTGGGCTTCTTTGGCTAGATTGAAGCGGCACACAAACTTTCAACCCTTACCCACCTTTTGAGGCGTTTTTCGAACTGTTTTGATATTTATTCCCATATAGCGCTGTGGTATCTTATTATACGATTTATGTTTTTATGTTTTCCTCCTTGAAATTGCAGGGAATGTCGCAAGCAAACCGAAAGAAATTATTTTGACACAGTCCTCGTTGATCGAATCAAATGATCCAATCTGTAGAATTTCAGCTGACATATTAAAAGTCGATAAAATTAATGAAGGGCTAGAATTCAGTTGATCATTGTTTAGGCTATTGCTTTGTTCGACGAGTTACCCATTGATGATCCTCGAATATCCGACTTGTCAATGAGGACTTGTCAGCCCAAACCTTTGATACTATTGAAGGTAAGCGCGTATATTATCTCACCTACTGCGGCTACTCAATGTAATAGGCTTGAAGGCCTATCCTCTGAATTCTTATACTCTAGCGTTTTACTGATGTACGGACAGTTGTCAAACTTTCATATGCATTCAAATGAAGTTCGAAAGTGAATTCAGGCACCAAGTACACTTTTCATCCTTTTTTTTCGTTCTGAAGCGGGCACTCATATATCTGCTCTGTTTGGCTTCCAAAAATGGACTACAAATTAGGTTAGTAAGCAGTTCCTAGGCTCGGATGGTAGCACGTTTTCATTATGAAAGTAGGCATAGAAAGTTATAGCGAGTTCGATGGAATTCGGCATAGTCGCACTACCGCTGAAGTTTTTGATACTTGATGATTGACCTCAGAACAAAGCTGATATTGTTTCTTTGTGGTGTCTTCTGGTGATTTTTTTACCCTGTAAGCTGATCCGAGTAACAATTAGCACCATCCGAAATTTAGAAATAAATCATAATTATTGTAGTTTCTGTCTTCTCAGATCCATGGCAAAGTTAATTTGTTTTTGCGATAAAACTGTAACATCTAATGCTGGAACTGATATTTTTTACGCACTTGGATTCGCTTTTTCTCGCAGCGCTGAAATGCCGTGAGATTGTGCCAGTTGATTACATACAGCTGAAATTTTTTCCGCAAAGTTCGCTGATTCCAACCTTTTCGCGGCGACTAAATGATGTTTCAGAAGACTGGGCGGAGAGGGTGTAGAGGCAAGTGGCCCCTTACCACACATGCATTGTCGCGAATTCGAATCCCAGTTCAATATCCGCCTGTGACATCCAAGCCATCCATCCCTACGGGGTCGGTTAATTGGTATCAGACTTGACTGGGAGTAAAAGCTGTGACTTGTTCATCGGTTAGCCTCCGCAAGTCACTGTAGAGGTTACACTCGCATTCAATACGCCACTACGTATCTGAATGGGAGTCGAATGCAGGGGCGCATCCCTCTGGCTGGATTAAACAACACCCAAAGCTTCACAGACTTTTAAAGAACTGTAAATGCATGGTTGAATAGATTTGAGTTCGTTCGTGATGAAATGTTTCAAATTCAGTACCAAGGAGACCGAACTAGGCAAAACTACAATAACAAGGTGAGTGGCCCTGTAAGCGGTTACGGTGTCTTATTAGATTCATCAATCGAAGTGGAAAAGAACATTGATGAAATTCAGATGGGATAGTGTTCCACTGCGTGCCCTTGATAGCATCAAAGGAGAGCTAACGAACGGGATGGGTGAAACTGTAACAATTACATTGAATGTTACACTACACTGCACTTGGCGCGATTCCATGCTCAGGAGTAAAACTCTCCATCAAGGATACAGACAAATTTAGCGGAAAATGAGAGGGAATTTTTCTGTCCTTCTCACCTTCCCTCTTCGATATGAATTGAAAGGGCATGGCATCCGGGTTAGAGTAGGGCAGGGGGCGGGGACCAAGATTTTCAATGGAATAACTTCCACCTCCGCTACATCCGGTCTTCTTGAGAAAATGAAGTTTCGCAAACTTTTATGAAATGAACAGGGTAAATTTAGATTAGCAAGATTATTCGAAATTATTTGGTGGTTTCACAATATCTACGCTCTTAGCATTATTGTTTGCAACATGCTTTTCCTTGAAATCACACAAATGTTCGGGTTACGACACACTGTAAATGTCGGGTGTTGAGATAATGATTTACAGATGTCAGTGTTAGATTGTAAAACCCCTCCATTCGCACTTTCAAACTTCAACTAGTACGCATAACATGATAATCAAATTACTAGATACTCCATATTCGGGACTTGTCTTTAAGGAGAAAAGCAGAAAATTTCAAATTGACGTCAGAAAATGATGTGAAAATTTCTTCTGCAGCGCACTTTCATTAGTACTCATTTACCCCTTGCAATAGCGGGCTAAATGAACTTCATACCAGTATATTTGTACGAGAAATTTCGTTTCCCTTTTACTATCCTTGCTGCTTCTCTGTCGTGCCTTCCATAAACGAGTTACTCGGCCTCGGTAACCTCAATGATCAAAGTAATCATTTTTAGACATTTCGGTCTTGAGGGGTTCCCCACGGCTTCTACCTATAGTACGAAGCTCTTCAGATAGGCGTGCAGCCCAAATAGTTTTAATAGATTTTCTACAGAATTATTCGGAATTAGAAAGAGAACACAGTTTCTGGCGTTGCCATTGCAGTTTTTGTAATGTACCTGAGCATTTGCCTTCCATCCAGAATCGTATTGGTATTTTGGATGGGGCATGTTGCCTATACAATGATTTGCGCTGACAAGGCGATGAACAAGTCAGTATATCCGCCAATGAAAACTTGTACTTGTTAGTCAACCGCGAAGGGGAAGGGAGGCTTGGTGGGCACGGGCATGTATCTTTATGATGTTCGAATCCTGCCCTGGACCATGTGCATGTTGTAAAGCCACTTGCCACTACACATGAAAATATGGATAGTGACCAAAACAAATATAATTTTTCGAAATAATTGGACTTCGTTGATCCAGATTTTCATGCAGGTTCATCATTTAAATTCGCGAAAGCCATAGATTTCAAAAGTTTTCATTTCTATTATTTGTTATTCCACCCGATGTACCATTGTGTTGTATAAGAGACTCTATCCCTCGTAGTGTCCTTATGTATTAGCGAGATTGTATACTTCATTGATGATAAGATGAGCTCGTGTCCACATGTTCTAGGAACTGGTGTCTGCTCCCATCTTGAGATGATCAATGGCATCTACTGAGCTTTTCTGATCACGTATATCGAGTGGAATTGCCAACATATTTCACGTAAAACGACAATGCCTCATGGGATCTATTGGGATGATTCTCGCCCCCTTAACACCCACGCAATAAAATGCCAGCTCCTCATGCCAATATATTTCCCTGAAATGTGTGGTCAAAAAATTCTGATGTGAACCGCAAAGCTTGTTTTGTGAGCTGGGAGAGGAATCAAGTGGGCATGCTTGGGCATTGGAGGATTATTTGATGTCTCTTGGAAAGGGAGCAGATTATAGGGTAATTTATCATACCACGACAAAAGAACAAATCAGAATTGTTTGAAAAATGTCCTGAAAGCGGGGATCAGTAGTTGTGGCTTCTCCTAATAATACGGGAGGTGTAAATACACACTGGTTGGGGAGTCCGGTAGTTTTTTTCACTGTCCGGTAATAGCTATTAATTTATTATTGTTGAGTACGTGAAAGGCTCCCCGAATAAGAATGTGCACATGCTCACTTATGTTTGGTCGTATATCAGTTTGGCCTTGCAAACGACCGCCGCCAGTTCCCCAGGGAATGTCTAGCCGTTGCTGACATTCTTGACACTGAAGTCATGACAGAAAGGTGAACAACAGCAATGACCTCATCTATGGGTGGCAAGCTGTAGATATCACCAGGGCACGTCTTCAGCGGGAGCGGCACGTAATCACCTTCTCACTGTAATTTTTCTTTTTTGTTTTTGAGCTCTTTAACGATGCCAGTGATTTGTTTTGAACATCTCACAACAACATATCCCTTGATTGGTGCTGTGGTGCAGGATAAAATGAAAAATCCCTGATTTTCTGTCTTCTGTAGCTGCTATAAGTACACTTTTTCAGCTGATCTGACATCCAAATTCACTTTCAAAGCCAGAATGGTGTTTCCCTGATTTTCATGAATTCGTCAAACGATTTTATGTCAACCATATATGATGCTATAGTTTAGCTAATTTACTTTTTGGACTCGGGGCTTCCCGAGTGGGAGCATCCTCCGTCATATCGTTCACTGAAAACTTTGAAAATACGCCACGCTTGGCTAAAGAAGTAAACTGTGAGCGAGAAGCCAAAAACACTTGGTATACCCTGAAGAATTTTCTCTTTCCTTTGTTTTTTCATGATGAAGTGGAATCGTTATTTTGTTTACCTTTCACTATCGATCTTCTTTAATTGGATACTTGAACAATTTTATATTTCATGGCTTTCTAAATTCTGTAGCTTGGGGGATGCCAAGGTCTACAGTTGCAAAATATGCTGAGCGACAAGTCCCCGACATATGATTGCGCGGGTGGTGACTACCTCCGCCATGGGAAGCTCGGAATTTCTTTCCCCGAGGGAATTACTTAGAAGTCGTCCGGCGTCGCCTTCTTGCATAATGTGAGAGGAACTTAGTTATTTAGTATGCTCATGACTCCAGAATACTTGTAATTTAACGACATTCTTTGAAGGCAACTATGTCGGTTTGCATTTTTGGATAACTGGGATTCAAACAACAAAGACAGTACTGGCAAAAAAATGTTTTCCAGAATTCGGCTACGTGTTCATGCTCATGCTGTGATTTCTCTATACGCATAATATACGTCAGGTGAAAGTGGTGTAATGATAAGTGGCGCACTATCACACACTCATAGACACGGGTTCGACTCCGGATCGATATCCGCCTAGCCCAACCAAGCCTGGCATCCCTCTGGGGTCGGCGAATTGGTACCAGACTCGTCTGGGAGGATAAAGGCACTGACTTGCACATCTTGTTCACTGCAACTCATTGCTTAGGCCAAATACGCACTCAGTACGCCGCTACGATTTTGAATGAAGTCAAATGCGGGGCGTATCTCTGAGACGGGGCGGCTTGCACTTGCACCCCAAGACGATCGTTTATCCCACTGTAATTTGACAATGTTGATGTGACGTCAGCGTATGCTATTTATATGTTCGGCGAATCAGGTCTTGGCCAGGCCCTTACATTTCTAAGAATTGCTCGGGAAGCTTTAGATCTGATTGATTGGAAGCCATTAGCATTTCTATCATATCAGTTTGGATAGGCATATCAGTTGAGTTAGGATCGACCCAAATTCGTACTATACCGTAAAAGTTGGTTCTATATCGTTTGCCTACTCAGCGGGGGTTTCCATTTTATGCATTTACCTTTCCGAAAGCGCCCAAGTAACGCCGTACTTCTAGTTGTGAAACCAACTATAATAGTATTTCCTTTGTATAAGAAATCGATTTTGTGGTTCCTAAAAGGAAAAGGATCGATTGTGCTGGGATTCCGTGCGATCATCCGCTTAGTATCACCTCTGAGCATCTGAAGTATGTTCACCGGTTAACACGGAATGAGCAGTCTAATAAGCACTACCCCTAAGAAATCCACATCACGCCCCAATAACTTCTCCTGTTCGTACGGCATGCAATTTAAAACTGAACTTATGTTGTTTG